TTTTACCTGTGAGCAAACTTCAGTACAACGAAGACATGAAGACTTGGGAGACACCGCTACACGACAGCTGAGCCCTTCGTGTGGCAACTGATCTGTACACATGAAAGAATCTGTTACTCTCAGTAAAAGCAAGGCAGCTATTTTATTAAAGTGTAATGGAAATAGTTTGGGTTTGGGAATTGAGATTAGGCTGTACAGCAGCTAGATGTGTGGGAAACTGATTCCCCCCCTGCCCCATGTCATAAAGAGGAAGAGTCACAAAACAAGCATTGAGCTAGAAATAAATCATTTATTTTAAAACAATACAGGTTAATAAATAGATTAGTTATCAGAAAACTTAATAAATAGCCTTTTATAATTTACACAAGGCAAATACAACATGCCTATAACTATTTCTTAAAAAGCAAAGAGAGTAAGCTTGACTTGTAAGCCATTAACAAATCTATATACACATTATTTGGAAGCTAATAAAATAAACCATTTTTATGTAATTTGTAGTAACTATATTGCAACAGCGTTGAAGCAACCAAACCTGACACTGTATATTTGTTGCCATCTGCCTTTCTGCCTTTTCCCCATATCCCATTAGAACTATTTTTTTTTTTTTTTACATTCCAGGAAATAAAAATTTTTTTTTTTTAAAAAAAAGAGAAAGTTCCACAGTTGAAAAAGGATTTAACTTAAAAATACCCATTTTGTGTAATATTTTCCACTCTGTAGAGCAACTGTCTGGGGGGATAACCGCAACAAAAAAAAACCCCACTTAAAAACCGCAATTATTTGCAGCTTTTCAAAAAGATTTCTTAATCCGTAACATTTCAACACTGCTGTCTGAAACACTTGGGCACTAGTAATAATAACTGTTGACATCATTGGTGCCTAACATGGTACACGCTAAAATTCTGCATCACTTAAGTCCTTATTGAGTAGCACCAAAGAGTTATTACAAAAACTAATCTCTGTAAAGAAAAGCTAACAGGTAATAGATAAACATTTGACAACATTTGATTTAACAGTAAAATTTCAGCAGTTACACCATCTCAAGACAACTGAGGAAGATCCATAGAATCCTTGATGTTTTATATTTATGAAACAAGAAGGTGAGAGGGGTATAACGTGCAAACGATGGCCCATTTTAAGCACCCCATATTAAATAACCCCAAATCTTTCTTCAGATACAAACCCCTATTTTTTAAATAAAAAGGAAAGCTAAACCTCAGATGCTAGCATTTCAATGAATAAAATCCAGTGTTTTCATTTTTCAGTGCTAGTTACTTCAGAAAAATACGTATGTTCAATATAAACTGAGATTATTAATAGGAAGCCTCACTTGTCAAACTGTGATATGACAGGTTCTTACTAGTGTTAGTTGCAGCTCACTAATAATTAGGCTCTACTTACACACACAGAGTCCTGGAAAGTCAATACAGCAGATAACTTGTTTAGATATTTTTCTTTTTTATGTAAGTATTTAAGATGTAACAAATTTTTTTTTGTTGTATCAAAAAGGTTTCTATTCTCCTACTGAACATTTGAGGGATTTTTGTGTTTGACACCTAATAAAGATCGTGACTGACACATGTAAATCCTCCATACACTGAAGGGATAATGATCAAAGAGCTAGCTTCAAGTGAGTACCAAGTAAATATGTTTGACAAGTATAGTAGAAGCCAGGCATACGGAGTGAAACGCCTTTCATATGGATATGAATTGAATTCAGATGCATCTCACCACTGTAATGAGTCCACTTGTTGCATGTGTAGCCTCTCCCGCTTTTACTTTGGAATCAGAACTGAAGTCATCTGGCTTGTAGCTATTGATAGACGTAATGCAAAAAGAACGTGAAAAGGGCAGACCCCTAAGGGACACCAAAGCTCAGGAGAAAACTATGCACATTTGCCACATTTGCTCCCTGAGATGATGGAACTCTGATACCTGTCTTATTCGAAGTGCTTACTTGTCAAAGGGATGGGGGGTGGGGGGGGAGGAATGGCTAAAATTCAATTTCAGCAGTGCCTCCTTTTAAATCAGAAAAGCGACGGGACTAAAAATGGTAGGACACCTAGAATGAGGTGGGCGTGGAATGGAGGGGAGAAGAATCATGCCAACAATGACAACAGAAAATGCTAATACATCTCTAAAGTTAGAACTGAACCAGATCCAGGTACAGCAAAACTCAAAAGAACACTGCTGCATACTGAATAAAGTAGCAAAAATAAAGGTTTCCATCATTTAGCATTCATGGTGTAAAAGGCTGCAGATATAAATTACGGGCAAGGCCACGAGAATTTCTTTCACCTTATATGCTGGCTTTTGACATCTCTGTTTTAAATAAGGTTAACTAGACATTTCTAGAATGCTCATCACAGATGAGGAGCAGCTGGGAAGAAGAGAGGAAACCTATGCAGACATTTATCAGCTGTAAGGATGGTCACAGGACCACAGAACACGGCTGCTACTTTATTCTTACTCTGCATAGTGAGTGCTTATCAAGTAAACTTGTGTGTGTGGTGCAGAAAACGGCAAGGTTTACTCAGGGCAGTCAAGTTATTTTGGATCTAATATTTACTCGTAATTTGCATATGCACCTAACAAACTAGGATAGGCACTTTCTAAGTAAATAGGAATGAATTTTAAAACAAAACAAGACAAAAAAATATGGTCAAAGGAGGACTAAGATGAGACCACAATCATTTCCATTCTGACCTAAAGATTTTCACAGAAGTCTTCAGAGATTAAAGGCTAGTACAAAACCAACATGCAACTCATGAACTCTGAATTTGAATTTTGAAAAGGCAACTTGACTGCTTCAGAAAACAGCTAACATTGTTTTTAAAAGTAGGTCACTACAGGTCTCATGACCTATGTACAACTCTGGTTTCATTCAGAAAAAAGGGAATTAATGACAAAACATAACTGTCTGCTGAGGACCAAGATACCATCTTCCAATCAGTAATGGACAGAGGTTAGTTTTAAACAGCTTTTGTAGTCCAATTCCCCTCATCTACAATTCTCAAACTTTCTAGAAACCATACACAATATTTGAAAATCCATGAAGGTGGCCTTTTCTCTGCTAGCACTATTTTATTTCAACAGGATACCCAGTTTCCGTGCTGGCCTATAACTGTGTATATTTCTGCCAAGTCAGAGTCATTCCCCCCAGTTTGGCATTATAAAACAAGCTTCCAGATAACATATTGGGGCTCTTACTCCCTCAGAACAGTCCCTTCAGAATACTAAATCTTTAGGATTCACTGTTCACAATTATTGCTGCCATCACAAGGGCTCATAATGTTCCTTTTAAATGAAAATGGAGGCTGAGTTTTAAGGTAACATTAATTCAGGTCAACAAAAAACATCATGAGAGTGGACAATTCTTTGTTTGAAGAGACATTCTGAACTAGAGATGTTGAGTTCCACTGTACCCTTCCATTTTTGTACTTCAATGGAAACCAACATTCATTACTTTTCAAGCTTTCCTTACAAGTTTTTGACTCGTGATGTTTTAACTACCAAATACAAGTAGAACATGAAAATTAACTATTTCTTTCTTTGACATATCAATATTCTCTAAATGGTTTGAAAGGAACAGTTCAGAATCATTCCAATCATAGCTTAAGCTATCTGTACTACGTGTTAAAATATTATGGCTGAACTGTTCACACAGGTCTGTAAATTACTGGATCTGGATGTAGATCCCTGTCGGTCATCTGAAATTCAGCTCTCTGAATGCCTATGCTTTTTCAGTCTTTCACCTCCTTTTCCCACGTTACAAGAGGATCAGACCATCTTTTTTTGAGCTATGAGAAATCTCACGCTCTTCTCTCAAATTTCTTTTTTTGTGGTCCCTGCTTATTAGCTACTTCACAAAGTGGTTTCCTGTATTTAGTCACTTAACTAAAATAAAGGTATGCTGGACTGCTTTAAAAAGTCCTCCCGTAGATTACCTCTTCCCATTAAGACTGAGTTTTTCAGAAGCTGTCAAGGCATCTAAGGGTTTCAGTTCAGGTTTGTAAATTCTTCCAAAAATGTGTGGCTCCTTCTGGATGCTTTATGTGTTTAGAATTTGAATACAGTCCAATATTATAGACAGTGAAATTGAATTATTAAACCAGCATAGGCCATCTGAAAAAAATACATTCACATTTATGCAGTATTTTTGGATTACAAAGGCACTGAAATAGTTCTGAGCTGCTTACAAATAAGCCACCACATAGGCAATGAGTCTGTGCACCCTTTCCACATCCTTCACAGTCTTTCTGTCTCCTCCCAATTAAAAACTCTCAGATGAATGCAGTATGTCTTAATGCACGTAAGTTACAAAGAAAAATGCATACCTGGACACTACCATCAGCTGATAAGTAATTAGTGAAAGATTTTTAAGGGTCCACTGCTCTGTATAAAGAATCCAATTTAAAACTCCCCAGTGTCTTCACCGCATGGCAGACCAAGCTGCCGAGACAGTCACTACAAAGGACAAATCTGCAGTCCATGGTTCAACCAACATTTGTCTCAGAATTCACAGCCTTGACGGTGAACACATTGCTATATTGAGATTAACAAATTGTTCCACTCACTTTTTCCCCCCCCGTATTTTAAGGTATAGATCACTCATGAAAGGTGTCAGATTGAGCGCATTAGAAACTGATGTTCTCTGCCCACAGAAATGGTACCTCAGAAGCCACAATACAAGCTTTCACACACAGGTCTGTCAGAATATCCCCAGATCTTTTCTGATGGATTACCTTTTACAGTAAGGAAATACATCGGTCTCTATGCTCACTCAATCAGTGGTTCCAGTTAAGGTCATTTATTGTGTTGACTGGGGTACATGGACAACTGTTCCTTTGAAACTGGATGGAGGCCTCCAATTCATTTCATGTAGGCCACCAAATCGTCAGAGGGTAACTATCAACCTGAATCATATTTGAATCAGTGACCTAGAAATTAAAGGCTCTGCATCCTTCCCTGAGCCATCCAGTTTCCCCTCAAAAAATATTTTAATCTGTCTTCATGTTAGGTTTATTTAAATCCCCAATATTGAAGTTGAATTCCTTGAAGACTTGTATAAGAACAATTCCAATAGATACTGTGGTGAATCCACAAGCCATTCCCAAGAAATCTACCACCCCTACATTACTCCATTCCCTGAAAAGGATGGCTGAAGCCAGCAGGACTAGGGTGGTAAACACAACATAGTAGATGGCACCAAACACAGAGGAGTCGAAACATTCCAGTGCCTTATTGATGTACCTGAACTGAATGATAATGCTACATCCTAATACTGCCAGAAGTACCAGACAGAGGTACAGAGCCCTTTGACTCGAGGGGTTATTGTGAAAGATGTCTTGAGCAGCCAGCCCAATGCCTTTTGTGCTGGGAACAGTGAAACTGCCCAACAGAGAGCAAATACTGATGTAAACCATGATATTAGTAGGTCCATGAGCTGGAGCTATCCAGAAGATAAGCAGGAGAAGCATTAGCAGCACTATGCAGAGATAACCCACGAAAACTGGAAAACAAAAAGAAAACAAGATAATAGCAAGGTGAGAACTCTTGGTCTTCTAAAGATTTTAGCAGGCAAATCATGTCATACCAGTGAACTTTGGGTATACACCAGGATTAAAATTTGCTATTGAATATAGATCCAAATCACTGAGCTTTTAGAGATGTTATGAGCATCTGCGACTGATGATGTTATGTTCTTTGGGTGAAAGAAATCACCATGTAGTAAAATACACACTGTTGCACATCTGAACTGGATTTAAGATGGCTTTTTTTTTTTTTCATTCTCTCTTCTATCAGGACTATACTCCTTAAAGCCCCCTATGACAGACAGCAGTGATAACACCTCATTAATAACCAGTTCAATGAAGCATGGTGTGTGGATCTAGCAAAGAGCTTAAACATAAAGTTAGATCCCATTAAGGTGAGTAGGGAGAGTTGGAAGAACTGGGAAGCCATATCATTTACATTATAACATCAGTATACAGATTAGACTGATGAAAAACATTTCATGCCTTACGGTTTTAAAGAAATATATTTCCAATTCATTTTGGTCAGATTGAAACAGTAAATTTAGACCAAGGTATTTGTTTTCTTTTCTTTCTTTGCAATTTTTTTGGATAGCTGATGTCATTAGGTTTGAGTTTCTCTCACCTAAAGCAATTAAAGGAAATAACAATAGTTGGCAGTTGAGCTCTTATGCAAGAAAAATAAAAGTGGGTCTGGCACATATTAGCACTAGTCTGTGTCCTCCAGGAGCAAGTGGGGCTTTACATTCTCTGTGAGAAAGAACAGGCATTTCAGCGTATGTCTCAACAGTGTATTTCTACACACCTTTATTACGCAAAGAAATCTGCTTGGAACATAACTGGTGTCTAGTATAAACTTTTAATAAAAAACAAATGCAGAATTAAAGAACAAAAGACAATCAGTATTTTTTGTTTTGTATAAAACAACTTAAATTGAGATTCTAGAATTATACCTTTCAACTCTAAGTAGCAAGATACACTTTTTCATCATTTTAGAAAATTACAAGTTCAAAAGGCCATTGTTCTGAACTTGCTGTGCAGGATAACGTTTTCAAAAGTATCGACATTTTCCTTTCTGCACATATGTATCAATAAATCTGACAAGTTCCAAGTACAGCAAGGCACAGTTTTCCCACACAAAAGCTGTACTGGTTTGCCTCTGTCACTTCATGGTTTCTTCAGAAGTCAATTTTCCTACCTGATGGAAGTGGTAAGCCTCTTTGTCCTGCGTGATCTTGATCAATCTCACAAAATCATTATGAGTTAATAAAAGAAAAAAGTACCTGGATTTGTAAGCTTCTCTTCAAGCTCAGCCTGAGTTGTTACACTCTCGGACTTTGGGGAATGGATGATGAGAACAACAGACCCAGCGCAGCTCAGCAAACATCCCAGCTTGCCAAGAATGTTCAGTTTTTCTTTCAGTAAGTAAGAGGCTAGAATGGACCTTTCACAAAGAGGAAGAAAATTAAAAGTTTGACTACATCCTCTTAATAGTGCTCCAGCAGTGATACCCCACATGAATTTCCCTCTTAAAGGAATAGTATCAAATGTTGGTGGATCCTCAAAATGCATTTCTGACTTATCTTAGGAAAGATTCGTCCAGTCTCAGTCTTACATCTGAGTGTTTCATCTCAGGGGGGGAGAAAAAAAACACCCCAAAAAACCACCCAACCACAACACCCCCAAAACCAACACCACATCACCACCTCCAAAAAAACCCAACCCCCCCCAAACCATGCATCTGGCACCCGAGGCAGATAGCTACCCATTAACAATTTGGTGAGCTGTCATGAAGCCCCATTTTATAGGTGCTACACAGTCATGAGATAAAAGCAGCCTTTGCTTACAAAGATCACAGGGCTCAGCTCAGACACGTAGCTGACTGAAATACACAAAATTATGTGGCCTAGGATAAAATAAGAGGTGGTAAGTAGAGCACCAGTGTGCTTCATAGTATATAAAACTAAAGACAGCCACAAAGCCCATACAAAGCAATCTGCACTCTGAAGTAGATGACCAGTGCAGTCAGATACACAATTCAGCAGCCAACAGTAGGCAACAGAAAAATCTCAAGGCAATGCACAGCTTGTTTTTAAAGAGTTGTACTTTTTCACTACAGTAGGTTCACAACTGCGGTGTAGCTATTCACAAAACATTTATTTGCATATTAAACTCCTTTTAGGAACACTCACTGCCTTTTTTGTCCCCTCCCTTCACATGAACATAACATTCAAGAAGGTCCGGGCATGCATATGCAAGGGAATCCCACTTCAAGACACAGGGCCAAATCCAATTAAATGAAAATCGGCACCAATGAACACATGTGGGTTGTGGATAGCAGGGGAGAGAAAGAATGTGAGACAAAAGGACAGCTCTACATAGTAAAGGAACTGTGAAAAAAAGAATAAGTAGAGGAGTCCAGAACAACCACAGTGAAGTGGCGGGGTGGCGGACAGGGGAAGATGTTTATCTGTTCCAGGTCATAGTGATAGTTAAAGCAGAAGATACTCAGGAACCTTTTCTTCATCATTGCCTTCCCCCCGCTGCCACTTTGCAGGGGAAAACCGGAACGGGTGACACTCATAAGCCTGACATCTCAGTGGACTTCCAGTGATCACTGAGTCTATCTGGCATTTTATAAAGTAGCAACAACATTCAGATAAGAATAAGAAAAGCAAACTCTTACCCAAATGGAACGCCAAGAGCTCCCAAGGGCGTCACTAGCACAGTTGGGACTGCAGTGTAGGCCAAGAAATTCCCTATTTGACCCAGAGCCACTGTCAAGAGAAACAGAAATAGCCTTTAAATCCTTTTGTAAAAAGAAGTAATGAAAACTTACCCAATACTGTTTGGGAAAGACTGACCTAACTGGAAAACAGATGTTACAAGTTTGCTTAGCTCTGTTAATTTTGCACTTAAACAAAATGGCTATAATTTCTATATTTTAAAATTATTTTTTAATATAGGATTTATATTTGCCACCCAAGAAGATCCAAGAGGGCACAGTAAATAATCTCATTTGCAACTTCTCTTAGTTGAATATAAATAAGACTATGAATTAGAATCACTCAAATATATCAATATTACATTCAAATATTTATATGAGGAGGGTTGAAAGTATATATAACCCATGATTTCAGCTTTAGAACATGCATATGTGTAACATGAATGCACTTAGTTAGAGTGCCTAACAGCAGTGTTACCTTTTAGTGGAAAATAAACACAGTACTGAGGAAAGGAAGCTACTAATGAAATACTGAGCACATGCATAAGGGCTCTTCAATATACAGTAGACCACATCAAATTATCACAACACTATATAAGAAACCAGGCAAGGAAGGGAAGAGACCAGCATGGCTGAGTTGAGACCTGCTGGTCAAACTAAAGAGCAAGAGGGAACTGCACAGGCAATGGAAGCAGGAACAGGTGTCCTTGGAAGAGTACAGGGAAGCTGCCCAGTTGGGTAGGGATGGGGTCAGGAAGGCCACGGCACAGCTGGAGCTGATTTTGGCAAGGGATGTGAAGAATAACAAGAAGGGCTTCAACAGTTATGTCAACCAGAAAAGGAAGGTTAAAGAATGTGTACACCACCTGCCCCGCCCTGCCCTGAGAATGAACAAGAATGGCAACCTAGTATCAACAGATGAGGAGAAAGTGGAGGTACTCAACAACTTTTTTGCCTCAGTCTTCACCAGCGGCCTCAGTCCTCACTCCTCCCGAGTCGATGGACCAAAAGATGGGGACCAGGGCATTAAAGCCCCTCTCGCTGTAAGGGAAGATCAGGTTCGAGACCACCTGAGGAACCTGAATGTACACAAGTCTATGGGACCTGATGAGATGCATCCCAGAGTCCTGAGGGAATTGGCTGATGTAGTTGCCATGTAGTTGCCAAGCCACTCTCCATGATATTTGAAAAGCCATGGCAGTCAGGTGAAGTCCCTACTGACTGGAAAAAGGGGAATGTTGTGCCCATTTTTAAAAAGTGAAGAAGGGATGACCCTGGGAACTACCACCCTGTCAGCCTCGCCTCTGTGCCTGGGAAGATCATGGAACAGATCCTCCTAGAAGCCATGCTAAAGCACATGGAGGACAGGGAGGTGATTTGAGACAGCCAGCATGGATTCACCAAGGGCAAGCCCTGCCTGACCAACCTAGTGGCTTTCTATGAAGGAGTGACTGCATCAGTGGACAGAGGAAAAGCAATGGATGTCATCTATTTGGACTTCTGTAAAGCCTTCGACACAGTCCCCCACAACATCCTTCTCTCTAAATTGGGGATATATGGATTTGATAGGTGGACTGTTCGGTGGATAAGGAATTGGTTGGATGGTTGCATCCAGAGGGTAGCGGTCAACGGCTCGATGCCCCAATGGAGACCAGTGACAAGTGGTGTCCCTCATGGGTCTGTACTGGGACCGGTGCTGTTTATCATCGTCAATGCCATAGACAGTGGGATTGAGTGCACCCTCAGCAAGTTTGCAGATGACACCAAGCTGAGTGGTGTGGTTGACACGCCAGAAGGACGAGATGTCATCATCCAAAGGGACCTGGACAAGCTGGAGAGGTGGGCCTGTGTGAACCTTATGGGGTTCAACAAGGCCAAGTGCAGGGTCCTGCTCTAGTGAGACCCCACCTGGAGTACTGCATCCAGCTCTGGGGCCCTCAGCACAAGAAGGACATGGACCTGTTGGAGCGGGTCCAGAGGAGGGCCACGAAAATGATCCAAGGGCTGGAGCACCTCTGCTATGAGGACAGGCTGAGAGAGTTGGGGTTGTTCAGCCTGGAGAAGGCTGCAACGAGACCTTATTGCGGCCTTTCAGTACTTAAAGAGGGCCTATAGGAAGGATGGGGGCAATCTTTTTAGCAAGGCCTGTTGTGACAGGACAAGGAGTAATGGTTTTAAACTAAAGGAGGATAGATATAGATTGGATATAATGAAGACATTTTTTACAATGAGGGTGGTGAAGCACTGGAACAGGTTGCCCAGAGAGGTAGTGGAGGCCCCATCCCTGGCAACATTCCAGGTCAGGTTGGACGGGGCTCTGAGCAACCTGATCTGGTTAAAGCTGTCCCTGCTCGCTGCAGGGGGGTTGGGCTGGATGACCTCTAAAGGTCCCTTCCAACCCAAAGCATTCTATGATTCTATATATCATCAAAAGTAATTCCTAACCACTGTAAAGAGAACAGATCCCTGACAAGTCACAATAACAGCCTCACAATCTTATTTTTTTCTTTCCCCCAATAAAGGCAAATTCCAAGATGCACCACACTATTGCACATCACAGCTGTAATAAGCAGTTCATGTGTTCACGTTTTCAGTTAAAAAAGAAAAGCTGGATGGTTTTGCAAGTGCTGGCAAGTTTATAATAGGTCAACATGACACTTGCATAGTTACAGGGTCTGTGGCAACTGGCAAGAACCTTGAGATTGAACACAAATTACATACTGCTCAAATTTCCAGTTGATGTTCAGAGTCATTATCAGCATTTAAAAACATTTCAAGAATCCAAGCTGTCTTTATGCTTAGGCTGGCATTGCCCTCGACTATCAAATATAGTTGCCATCACCCTGTTCTTTACACCTGCAAAACACTGTGCAAACATTAATGAATTTATCAAATTAGCTGCCATTATCAGTGGAGCTGAAGACCTGTGTAACCTACAGGAAATACGAAGGAGACAAACAAACTTATAAAATGGCAGAGTGTGGCAAAATTATACTAATTCAATTCACTGAGGCTTTCTCTACATGCAGGAGTGAGCCAGAGAAGTTAATGAGCAGCATTTCTAGAGCACAAGAGTCAGTGATGGTCTCCTGAATTCTCCCTGCCCCTGGGAACAGAGTAACTCCACTATCAGCCTCGGGCTTGTTTTTCAGCAGATGTACGTGGCAACTTCGGCATTATCTTCAAGGTATCTGAAGGCACTAGGGCAGATCTTGCATGGAGGACAGGACTCAGCTAGCATGCTGTGTTTCTGCAGATTACATCCATTTCCAAGTGACTCTGACAAAAGGCTGCTTTTTCTGGAGGTCAGCTGCCTTAACTTTCTGTTGGAAGAACCAACACCAGTCCATAAATTAGGTCTCTGAAGCTTCAGTCAAAGTGCACATATTGTAAGGCAACCGAACTTACCAGAAGTTTTCAGTATCACCACGAAGTAATACTAACAGTCTCTTACCACCACGAGTAACAGATCAGGACTAGTTAAGGCCAATTAAGAAAAAGAATCTCAGTAATTGTTACCATCTACCTGATGTTGAGGACATTTGCTGCCAACCTATCCAGTCCTCTCTGGATAGAAATTCCTCTCCAGATATATCAGTGCTGTAAGTCAATTCATGGCTTCAGTTCTTGAAGGTACACCAAGCTTTAAGCTTGCTAAAGGAGTAACAATATCCCTAAAGTTATTGCAACACAAAACTTGATGCACACTGACGTGTCTACCTTAGCAAGGGGACCAGGGGTAGGTCCGTACAGCAAAAGATGTCTGCTGTACACATCAGGGGTTTTATTTCAGACTAACTTCAGCCTGCTCCCGCAGACTGAAAGTCTATTTTATTTGCAGCTGGTGTGTGTTAGGCATGTTCCTAGAGTGCACCTTCCAGCCTAGTTTCATCTTAAAGTCCAGTTCAGGAGCTCCAACACTGCTCCACAACGTGAAAGCAAGCCCAATCCATGGAGGCAAACAGGAGATTCGCTTCACAAGTGCATTCCTCATCTGCAATAAAACACTAAAATAGATGTATCCACTATAAAAACCGACCACATCTATGCTGCTATCAACACCTGCACTGAAACTAATTAATTAGCCAATTAATTAGTTTAATGCTTATTGAAATACCTGTACACATGCTGCAATCACTCTTTTGACTTTAAAAAAAATCCCTTAGCAGAATCTGTAGCCTTTCCTTTGAAGTCTTCAGTAATCCAGTGGATCCCAAGGCCCCGAAATGGTTAGGCAGTGTTATGCTGAGTCAGCATGCCAAGACAGAAATGCTTGTTCACCATCTGAACAAATATTGTGAAAACATGTTGATAGAGTTTATGTGGGTTTTGTTAGTCATCCAAACTCCAAATTCCCTGCTTGAGAAAATGATGTCAGCTGTTATAATTTCGGCCAGATAACTGGGGATATTGCTAACTCCCCAAACATCGCCTTTCTCAGCATCACATAGGTGCCTACCTGGCCCTTGCTATTGCTGTTTGTGACTGTTGCAATTCTGAATCTATAATATCCTTAAGCAATTCTTCCCTTCGTTCCTTTGTAAACTTACTGAGAGGCTTTGTTTTGAAATACCTGCACCTAGTTACTGGACAAAAGCCAACTGATACCATTCCCTTCAGCTATTTTGCCTTCATTCAATTCTGTCAGCTCTTTTTAGCATGAAATTGCTTTCTCTGATTCACCAAGATAGACTCCTGCAATAAAACCTCTCTTATTTTAACTCCTTCTGCTCAGAGATTCAAGATGGGAGCCTCACAAGCGATAAACAGTAGCAATTAATGCACAGATTTATTGCTGCTTAGGCAGCAGTGATCCTGGCAGAGGAGGAAGCTGACAAAGTACTAAAACTTTCCTCTGAAGCTCTGTTAGCTTCTACACTTGCTGTGAACTTTGTCCTTCAAGGGATCTATCAGTTTCCATTCCTTTTGCATACCTTGAAGACAAAGAACAAAACCAGAGACTTACCTTGTTGCCACAAAACAAAGGGCACAACTGGATGCATATACTTCTCAGAAACAGCATCAGAATATTTCCAAATAATTCACAAAAGGTTTGGTTAGAGTCTAAAAGTGGG